GATTTTTTTGCACCCTCAGATTCCAGATTTTCAAATAGTTGTATCTCGGCCAAATATTGTCCTATCCTAACAAACCATACATCAATGAAAAGCTTATTTATTCAGCTTTGAATGATGATGTATAAATGTATAAATCTCAATTTCGAAAAATTTACCCTTATGACTGGTTTTGTGGTCCAGGTTCACAAATTACACACTACAGTTATAATCAAGAAAATTATAAAAAATTATAATCAAGTACTTTAGATGTGCTATATTTTCAACACATCAAAATAAGTGTAGGCCTACTTTAAAGCATGACAAAAAAATTAAAATGTAATGATTTAAAATGTACTTTACAACTTTTAATTAGAGATTATTACTAAGTGCACTTTTTAAAAGTGTTAAGAAACATGAAATTGTACCCCTTTAAGTACCTTTTATTGAATTAATATTACATTATTTAAGTACAGTTTCTTTAAAAATATACCTTTACGATTTGAAGTACACTAAAAGTGCACATTCAATACAATTAAGTGTACTTTTTTTTCACAAGGGGAAGATTTTTACCCCTAGTAAATGTGAGATTGTTGCTGGAATGCATTTGCAGTATATCCCGCAATGGGGGTTAAAGCATATAATGAGCAAGAGAGTCAAAGGAAAGCATCTCGTGTCCAGTGGTTACCAAGTGCACCTTGTTGCCCGGAAACCATGAACATGGATGGGCCTTTGATTAAATGGAAATCGATTAATCAAGATTCTGCTCCATAGAGGGATGATAATGATAAACCAAGGGTTTTGCTCAGTGTGCACAGTTTAGGTCCGGGGTTTTAGTGTTAGAGAAATTCATTATAAAGTTTATGTTATATGTAGTGACATCAAAATTATTCCGCCTTTTTCCTTAACAAAGATTAACCTTTCCTGAGCTTATTCACTTTGACATACTAATGACGATTTGTTTCATTCACACCCACCCATTTTCTGTTGGTTTGCTGTTGATTATTTAGCTCTGGCTTTAGAGCCCTCACCCCCACACACATTTGCAATTTTTTTAATTGCTGATCCCCCTGGCTGCCCTTTTGCTTTACAGATCGCAAATGTTCGATAATGTAGATTAACTTTTCCTTCAGTTTGGCTTGTTTTGCAGAGTTAAAGGGGTGGTTGACTGTTTTTTTCTAGGCTTGATTGTGTTTATGGGGTGCAGTCTAACATGTGTTAATGCTTCGTTTGTTAAAAAACGCATTATTTTTCACATAATTTACCTTTATTCCACACCTCTCTGTCCCTTCTCCTCTGAACGCGCTGATCATTTCCTGCTTTTATGAAGCCCCTTAAAATTCTGGGTTCTTGACGTAACAGACCCGGGAAGTAACTCGTTGCAATCCCTTTACCAGTCGTTTTTGTAGGCATTAAACTGCCAGAATTTTAAAAGACGATATCTCCGTTTGCATTGAACTTTCAGCTTCGTAACTTTGCAGATATTGTTTATGATCAAACAGCAACATTACACACTAACTAACATTAAAAAAGTGAAATCGCAATCAACCACCCCTTTAAAGGTTTTCTCTTATTCTGTGCTGACAACAAAGTCTGTTCACTTTCTAGGCCCACATTTTGAAATTTAATTTCTATAATTTCAGGAACACTGTTCATACATGAACATCATTGTTAGGAGGTGTATATAAATGTGGCATGCAGATGCACATTTATTAGAAATAAAAAGCTTCTTAGATGACATATCAAAGTTTCAGAATAAGGAAATAAGCTTTAAAGGTAAAAGTTCACCCAAAAATGGAAATTTGCAGAAAATATACTCACACACAGGCCATCCCGACATTCTGACATTTCTTCATCAGAACAGATCTGGAGAAATCTAGCATTACATCACTTGCTCACCAGTGGATCCTCTGCAGTGAATGGGTGCCGTCAGAATGAGAGTCCAACCAACTGATAAAACATCACAATAATCCACTAGTAATCCACATGACTCCAGTCCATCAATAAACGTCTTGTGAAGCAAAAATCTTCACAAGTAATAAACAAATCCATCATTAAGATGTTTTTAATTTTAAACCATCCTCTATCAATAATATTGCTTTCTCCAATGACAAAGTTGTTCCATCTGACTCAGAAGAGAAATGCACAGATCAAGCAGTGTTTACAAGCGAAAACAGTCTAAAACAGTTCTAAACCAATATGTCTATGGATTTGGATGTGAGAGGACAACAGGGGATGGACTTTTTCACTGGCGGAAGCGTTGTTATGGATTATGGACACATTTTTTGGCCAGAAGTAACAGTATAATGTTAAAATGCCTTAATGATGGATTTGTTTAATCACAAACACGCAACTTTTCCCTTCACAAGACTTTAATTGATGGAGTCGTGTGGATTATTTATGGATTATTGTGATGTTTTTATCAGCTGTTTGGACTCTCATTCTGACGGCACCCATTCACTGCGGAGGATCCATTGGTGAGCAAGTAATGTAATGCTAAATTTCTCCAAATCTGTTCTGATGAACAAACAATCTTATCTACATCTTGGACGGCCTGACGGTGAGTAATTTTAATTTTTGGGTTGAACTGCAAGTCTGTAGTTTTCATTCTATTGACCTCCCATATTGTGACTTTTTTTCCAGGATCTGGGAATGGAGTCAACCTCTCTGGACGATGTTCTCTACCGCTATGCCAGTTTCCGCAACCTAGTGGATCCCATTACCCATGATCTCATTATCAGCCTGGCCAAATATATTCACTGCCCAAAGACGGTATAGTGCTTCTGTGATTCGTGACATGCACACCTAAACACACGCACACACACATACCATTTCTGTTCTATTTCTGTATGTTTCTTGTATGTTGTGTTACGTTAATATTTAATGAAAAGTGCCTTATAGCACTGCCTGGACGTCATAGCAGAAAGAAGTGCAAAATGAAACTGTACCATTCCAGTGCAGTGAGCATTAGGATGAAATCCAGTTTCTTAAGCATGTGCGAGTCTCTGATGAGAGGCAGAAGCAGAGATGAAGAGAGCGGAGAGGGTAGAGACAGAGGGAGGTGTATTCGCAGATGAGTCACACACACTAAAGACCAGTCAGCCCTCTTCCACGACTGCTGCTGCTGCTGCACTTAATGAAGCAAGTCAGGCACTATATCACACCACTAACTCCCTGCTCAGCTCCTATAGAGAGCTGCACAAACACCTGACCTCCACCAAAAACAACAAGGATGCCGCCGATTGTTTTCTTTACACTGAGCTCATCATCTCTTCTCTCATGAAATCTGTCAAGAACATGTCCTGGATTTATTTCACCCCAAAATCAAAAGAAAGAAATATAAAATGATATTTTGCTTAAAGAAAATGAATTAATATTATTATATAGGCTATTATGTAGAGAATTTAATATATCATAGTAGTATCTGTATTGTACGTTAATTACCTCTGAATTATATATCTTTAATATTTATATTTTTAATTAAATATTTAATTCATGTAGATTATTATATATTATGTAAAGAATTTAATATATCATAGTAGTATCTGTATTGTAAGTTCTGAATTACAGTTCAAATTGCAGTTCAGTAATTACTTAGTATTCAGCAAAGATGCATTACATTCATCAAAAGTGACATTTACATTGTTACAAAAGATTTCTGTTTTATGAAAGATTTTATATTAATGTGTTTTTTTTTTAACTTGATATTCATTAAAGTATTCTGAAAAAAAAGTAAAAAAAAAAAAAAGGTGTCTTCCAAGGAAATATTAAGCAGCACAACCGTTTCCAACATTTATAATAAGAAATGTTTCTTGAGCACCAAATGTTTCGGGGGAAACACCCTTAACAGATGGCCAGTCCTTGACCTGCACTTTATTATAAAAAAATTGAGAACCAGCCTTAGAAACATGCATGTGCTATAACTTTAACTAAGCAGACATAATGAAATGTCAACTAAAAGTGTGGGGAGTGAGAGTTCGAACTAGTGCGTAAGGTGACATTTTCTCTAAGTGATGTTTTTGTAAGTAGTGATGGAGAGAGACAAAGTAGAGACGAGCTCAGTTATGTGACGAATGGAAAGCTGGGCTGTCTGTTATACTCTCGGAGCTGTCAGAGCCCGCTGGGTGTATGATTACATTGCCAGGGGACCCACTGTCTGTCTGCAGGTGGATGCGCACCAGAGCTGACCAGCCATGAGGCACTGTTAATCTCACCGTCAGCAGCCACTAGGCTTCATTAACACATAGTTTGTGTGTTTTTACAGACATAGTTCTATCTCTGATCCACTGCAGAGGTCAAGGTCTGGCGCAGCAGAGAGATGTGATGGCCGGATTGATTTACATATTGATGTTTCCAGTGCGGATACAGACACCTGAGCACAGACAATGTGTCCTTGATGAAATACTATGTTACTGTTATCTTGGATTCCTGATAAAACAAATGTCATTTGGCCCAGGGTAAGACCTATTAAAAATTTGTCCTGGTCCCTTGAATTTTAGCGCCCATTCTACATATTGAGGTTCAATATTGAGATTGCAAATTTTTAAGGTTCTTAGTTGGAGCCATGAACAGACAAGTGCTAGTACTTGAAACTATACAGATAATTGGTAATATAGTCATGTATGAGCAGTGCCCTCTCATTCACTGAAGTGCACTGGACCTCATTTATTACCTTTAGCAAATCAATGTAATTCCAGTAATAAACCTCTGTACATTTCAGTTGTGATTAATGTGACAAAACAATATTACAGTTAATGGACAATTTGCAGCTCATAATAATTAATTGAAATGTGTTACAAGATTACAGCCAGTGTTGTTTTAGTATTGTTTATATACTATTTAAGTGTTTTAATATTCTGAATTAGCTTTTATTTAAATATTTTCAGTTTTCTTTTTCATTTTCATTTTAAGTTTTAGTCATTTTATGTGCTTTTGTCATTTTTATTAGTTTTGTGATTTTTAAATACTTCTGTTTAGCTTTAATTTCAATTAGTTTTAGTCATTTTATTACTTAAGCTTAAACTTATTTTATCTCAGTTAGTTGCCAAAGGCAACATTTCAAGTTAAAGTTTTTCCAATTAACATTTATATATTTTTTTTATTTCAGCTTTATTTCTATTAACAAAAATGATTTGTAACGTTTTAGTTTTAGCTAATAATAACACCGCTGATGACAGCATGTTGGTTCAGATTAAATTATGGATTCATGATGTACTGGTTCTGTATTAGAGACATTTTTTTCTTTAAATACAGTAGCATCAGACGGTATTGTATATTTAATTATTTTTATATTTAGATTACCACTGCAGTCATCTTTGCATTTCTATAGTTTATTATAATTAATCAAGAATATTAAATATAATCTTTACCAAATCTCAAAATGAGTATCCATGTTCATACAAAATCTCCAATTAATTCTGAATTCACAAAATAGTATAGAATTTTTATATTTATTAGCCATCTATTGGTTATCTTCCAGAATTGTAACATCAGTGTATCCCTAGATTTAATTATTCCAGCCCTGCAGGTGTATGCAGTGCTTTTCTTTTTCGGTAACTTACGTGTTAAACATTGGCAGAAATAGTTTCTGTCTGGAGGAGTGTGGCAGTTACTCGAGGCAGTGTGTATGAGTGTTCGTGTCTCTCTGCAAATTGAATTGCTTTAGGCAGTGATGAATGTGAGTAAAAATAATAAAGCTTTTCAGAGATAGCCATACAATACATCAATATGTCGCTAATACATTACATTCTTATGCATTTTACCAAATCACACACATACATACTCACAGAACCTCAGATGACCTAATGATAGAGCCAGACTGTGTTTGTGACATGTCGGTCAGTCCATATAGCTTTGCTCCTCTGTCATCATAAATGTAAACAAAAGTTGTATTTTACCTTGAGGGCTCAGATACCCTGATCTTCTGCCAATCCCCATTAACCTGCTGTGTGTTACATCTGATTGATGTGATCTCTCTCTCTCTGTCTTTATCAGGAGGGAGATGCTTTGGGTGCCATGGAGAAGGTGTGCCGTCAGCTGACCTACCACCTGAGCCCGCACTCCCAGTGGAGACGGCAGGGGCTGCTGAAGAGGAAGCCACAGGCCTGGTACTTAGTTACTGTCCGCCTCTGTGTAAAAGTAATGAGCTTCTGTTATGAATATTTGTTCAATATGCAGTACATTTTCAAATATTTGTTTGGCTACATAGCTCTTCTGTAGGGTAAAACTTGCATGCAAGCCATATTAATGTACAGTTTGTGAATCATTCCTTTAAATGAATTCTTTTTAATGAATCAGTCACATTGATTTACAAATGATTCACTGATTCATTAGCAAAATCCTTATCCATGAAGGGCCATTAATGTTGGCCATTAATGTTTCCTATTCTGGTTCCTTTTCTTTTTCCTTTTTGTTTCTTTTCTTATTTTCTCTCTGATGTCCAGCTCTCTCCTGCCACATAAGTACTTTCATTTCACATGAAAGCATTGCATTTAATGCTACATTATAAATTACATTGATGCATGTATCCCTTCAGCCCACACACAGTAGCCTAGTGGCTCACAAGTGCCTCACTTTGTTCATTAATTAAAGTGATTAGTTGGTTTAAAAATAAAAGGCTTTCCGACTTTGCAGAGCAGGCAGTCAAAATGATTCATCGCTTTGCCAGTTGTTTGTCCGTGTACTGATTCGTCAGCACTTAGGGATTAATTATGATTTAAAAACCGCATGGCTAATGAAGCGTTTCATATGAGGATTGGGTTCTACATTTCTGATGTCCCCAAATTGTATTAATACACAATATTGCATATTATATCCCCAGAACAGCTGTGTATACCATCCAAATCTCATCACCTGTGAATTGGCTTCTCAGTGGGGCTTTCAGCACTTTCTTCTCTGTCCATTGAGGATAAGAGCTGTGTTTATTCTGCAGAGTGAGTCAGTGAATGAAAGAGCAGCCTCCCACTGCGTGCCGTGTGTTTTTTTGCTAACACATGGTTCTGTGGTGTAGACTCATACTTATGTGGCTCTTTTCCAACAGCCATTAATATAGTCAAAACACAGACTGTGTAATGTGTAAATGAGGAAATACTAGGCTCTATTTATTTCCTGTGTCGATGGATACACTTTAGATTAGCTGACGCTTTACTCTGTTCCCTAACTTATGTATGCAAGGATAAAACAGCTGAACTCCCCGCAGTTCGTTCACTGCATCGACTGCTTTGGTTAAGCTGGAATGTGAAGGCATGTGTTCTGCATAGACCGGATTCGATACCTTCTCCTTTTTATCCGCTCCGGTTGTATTGTCTAATCCTCACCGGGTGCTTTTTGTTGATGGAGCACTGCTGTTTGTCTGAGTCACACCACACACGGCTCTTCATTTGTTACGCTTATGTTCTGTACTGTGTGGCGTGGGTTATTGTCACAGATGCAGCTGTTGGGGTTTAAAACGGGAAGTGTTTCTCAAACAGCATTCTCACCTCTCCTTGGGCGTGTTGCCGATTCTTGTGTGCCTCTGAGGGTCTCCTTATTCTCTGTTTGAACTTCCTCAAGCGCTTTTGTTTGTTCTGCCTGAACTCTGCGTTTACTGATGTGATTTCATCAGATCGGCAGTAATGGGATTGTCCAGTGGAAATAGGAGCTCAAATAATTTCACAGCCTGAAGGTGCAAACAGGAAAGAAAACAAGGCAATAGTTCAACTAAAATGAAAATTCAGTCACTATTTTCTTAAATTCTTGTGTTTCAAAACCAGATTTGATTTGATATGATATGATTTTCTTTTTTTCATGGATTACAAAAAGAATAATTTATAGCAGAATAAGCAAGCTGCTTGTTAATGAAAGTAAATGGTGAGTGCACTGCAGATTTTCAAGTGAAAACTTTCAGTGAATAACAATAACAATGTTGGTCTGATTCTCAAACAAAGCTCTCATATGGTATTAGAAGGCTTGTAATATAGAGAACATTTAGTGCAACTGAAAAAGGTTCCATGGATGTTGAAGGTTCTTCATGGAACTAAAGATGTCAATAAGGAAACTTTATTTTTAAGAGTGTATATTAAATGTGAGGTTTGAAAGAGCATCCTATATTTTACTTTGGAAAAATTCAGTAATGTCAATTTATTATTATGTATACTATTATAATATTAATTAATATTTTAAATTAGTTTTTATTTTCATAATTTCAGTTTTCATTTTAAATTTAGTATACGTTTTCGTAATTTTATGTGCTTTTGTCGTTTATATTAGTTTTTGTAACATTTCTTTTTAAATTTAATGGATTTTTATTTTTTATCAGTTAATTAATTTTTATTTTTTATTTCAGATTTATTTCTAGTAATATTGGTACTTAACTTAAAATAATTTAATTCTAATTTTCATGCTTTGAATGTGAAGTTTTAATCTAATATCTATATTTTATTTTATTTCAGCTTTATTTTAATCAACAAAACATTTTTTAGTTTTAGTTAACAGTAACAACAGTGAAATTCAGCCAAGCATTCATGATGATTTCATTTTTAACTCTCATCATTTTATGTCTCCTTCAGTTACCCTTCTCTTTCTCTCTCTTAATGATTCCACCCTCTTTGCTCTAGTAATAGCTAAGTGCTAACATGACCTTAACCTCGTCCGCCGGTCAGACTGAGACAGTCTCTCAGACAGGTGTCCCATTTTCTTTGAGAGAATTCACACGTAACAGATGTTGGGCTGTAATATGGCTCATAGTGTGTGTGCAGTTTAATGTATGTGCCTCCATGCAAATATTTACACTGAAGCTACATCAATTCTGATTTGCAATTCTACATATAACTGGAGGAAATTATACATCTGCTCCGGATGTGTTGTCTGTTAGTTTATCCAATAACATGCATTTAACTTCAGTGTAAATACATACTGTATTTATATACGATAAAGTTTATTTATTAGCACAGCAGTATACGTCAAGATGCAGGTGTGAGAAAAAGACCTGAATGTTTGCATTTGTTTGGGGCGTTTTTTTTTCCTGACAGTATCGCCCACTCTCACTGAATATAATATATTAGTCGACAGTCAAATTGCTTACTGCAAATGGAACAATATAAACAGATCTTTATGAACACAAGATATCTGAAAGCTGTATTATTTGGATTGCTTCTTCGAAACAAAACCTGTTAAGTGGAATCTAGTATGCCATAGACCTACTACTACATGACCTTGTTTCATGGACTGAAATGTGAAACGCATTGTGCACGTCTGGTCTGCATGTGGTGAAGCGTCTGCAGTCCAGTGGAGACCCTTTGGTCCATAACAAGCAGCCCACGGCTGTCAGGAGCCGGTGAGGAATGTCTTTCTCATCTCAACACAGGAAGACCGGAGCTTTCTGGATCATCATGTCCAGAGGCGACAGTGTTTTATCTAGCTTTAGCATATGATCTGCCTCCATAACACCCACATTAATAGCAAACTCACTGGTTTTTGATAGCTAGAATTGTGAGGGGAGAAGAAAGATAGAGAGTTGTGTTAAACAAAAAAGGGATTTGAGAATATAAAACAGGAGTAGAAGAGGGTGTGGAATAAGGGCTGTTGTGAAATCATACTGTCATCTCTCAGGCATGTCTGCTGAATTCGTTCTGCCTTCTAAATTTTCCCTCCTGTTTTTCATCCCTCTATTTTCTCCTCATATGATCTCTTGAGTCCTTCTAATGCCGCCTCAGATTACCTCACAGTTCTGCCTTTTGCTAGTTTTTCAGTGGCTTAAGCTCTCGTTTCGTGCCTCTTTCTCTCTTGTTGTCTTCCTGTCCTTTTCTGCTCATGCTCTTTACTGCCTGAGAGCAGAAACAGCAGGTTTCTAATGTGGCGTGATGATGAAATTGCAATAGGCTATTGATATTCATTCCTGCCCTGTTACTTACAGCTTTCTGCATCTCTGGCTTTTTCAATTTCATTCCCTGTCTGTTTTTATTCAAGCAGTGACTTAGACATTTAATTTGGCACATGGCAACTACCTGCCTCCAATTAGTGGTATCTTTATATTAATGCTTTTTTTATTGATTTGCATAGCTGTCCAGACAGCTGTCATGTCAGAGTCATTGATGCCTGAAAGGATGAGTAAAAAGGAGCTGTTTGACAAAGGAAATTGCTTGAACTCAGCTTTTAAAATTCACATAAAGTCATTACACGGAGAGCTTAAAGCTGCTGGCATTTTGCACGAAAAGGGTACAAAATTTGACCTGAATGTCAAATGTTGGACGTCAATCTCAGGAAGTCAGCTAAATATTAGTTGTTTTCGTTTTATGTTATGTTATATATTATGTTTATATTATATTTTTTCAAGAGTAAAAAGTATTTATAAACATTGAGAAAATGGACTGAGATGACTAATCTTCCCATCATGACGTAAAAAGATCCAAATTATGTGATTTATTATAGATGTCGAAAATCTCATACAGTAAAATGTAGTCTTAACAAAATAGCTACATATTAAACAAATAGATTTTTTAATAATTAATTGAATATCAGCTTAACAGATCAGGTCAAAATCATGATTTTTGTATGATTAGGATATAAACCCAAAGCAATGGGAGACCAAAGTGTACTGCATTCATGAAAAGTGCTTGCTATTTTAAATGATAGAATATTTTGTGCATCATACTAAGCAACATTTTAACTAAAAACGAATTATTAGTGCACACATTCAGTCATCCTTGCATCCACTGCAAAAGAAGGTTTATTTCAGGCTTTATTTCAATGATGGTATTCCTTCATTTTGCTCTGATAGTCACACAGTGCTGACATTTCAGTGTGTTGGAGATTAGAGCAGTATAATGATAGACTCTGCACTTAATTGGTCATAATTACCACAATTATTATCCAAGAGTCTTTAACATATTATCCGAGGGTCTTAGGCCATTTTTATTGACCTACATTCAGGGTCGGTAAAATTTTTGTATATTTTTGAAAGATGTGTCTTATGTTCACTGAAGGCTGTGTTTATTTTATCAAAAATACAGTAAAACAGTAATAATGTGAAATATATGAAAATGTAATTTATTCCTGTGATGGCAAAGCTGAATTTTCAGGAGTCATTACTCCAGTCGGCAGTCATATCAGTCTTCAGAAATCCAACATA